CAGTTTCCAGCCCAGTCACTTCACAAGAAGGCTGTAAAACCATATGCTCATATGTCTTTGGGCCACATATCCCATGAGAACCTGTGTAACTCTCTCGTGGTTACATGTTCTGCTCTTTTTCTTCTTAAATTGACTTTTGTTGACAGGGAGCAGGACACTAGCTAGATAGAAGAGCAAGGATGTGTCCTTTTCTCTGAGAGAAGCTGCAAGATTTTTTTTTTTTAATTAGTTTTTCAAGACAGGGTTTCTCTGTGGCTTTGGAGGCTGTCCTGGAACTAGCTCTTGTAGACCAGGCTGGTCCCAAACTCACAGAGATCTGCCTGCCTCTGCCTCCCGAGTGCTGGGATTAAAGACATGGGACACCACCACCCGACAACAGCAAGATTCTTACCATGGCTTCTTTGGCATCAGTGGAGGATTCCACAAGTTGGTCCTGAGAACTGAATACACAGTAGCTCTGACAGGTGCTGTACTGCTGAGGCGTGCTCTTGTCCCTCTGGTCCCCAGCCCCTGCTGTTGAGGAGGTATAAGTGCAATGGGTAAAGGGACACATAGGAGTCTCTGCTGTGTGTCCTGGTGTCTGCAATCATGACCTCCATCACATCTGGATGCAGCGAGACTCATGCCTGCCTCTCATTGTCTCTTTTTTTAGGAGCAGCCTATTGCCAGTTCATGGACATGCTCTTTCCGGGCTGCATTAGTTTGAAGAAGGTAAATTTTCAAGCAAAGTTGGAGCATGAGTATATTCACAATTTTAAACTTCTGCAAGCATCATTTAAGCGGATGAATGTTGATAAGGTAAGAAGCTTGTTAGTACCCCTGTCAAATGCACTCTTTTCTCCAAAATTGCTTTTAGTATTTTACTGTGTTTTAAATTATGTGTATGTGGGTTTGTACTTGCAAGTGCAGTATCTGCAAAGGCTGTACGATGGTGTGGGATTACCCAGGAGTCAGAGTTACAGGTGACTGAGAGCTACCCAATGTGAGCACTGGGAATTGACCTCCGGTCCTCTGGAAGAGCACTGCAGATATCTTAGCCATCTATCCAGCACCCTTGTAGTAGTAACCAAAAATGAAAAAGTCTGAGAACATATCCATGAGGATATACTTAGATATTTCATAATGTAGAGGCCTGTACATACATAAACAGCAGCCCTGAGATCCCCCACTCCCTGCCCCAAGACTGTGAGGTTTTAGTTTTAAGAAATTCTTAACCCCACAGGCATCAGACCGAAACCTCTTAGCAGGAATCCTGAATGTTACAGCCCTAGCTCTTTAGCTTCTCCATGTTGAAAATGGAAGCTTTAGTGTTTACCAGAGGCCTCCAGGGTTCTTTGGGTATTTTGTCCGTTTGTAAAAAAAAGCTTGTTAAGGGGAACCACCCTGGGTTTGAGTCTCAGTTCCACGACTGTCACAAGTGATATGTGTTTTCTAGGTGTCTAAACTGGCCTCTCTGTGAAAGAGAACTAGGGTCTTCCTTCCTCGTGGTTATAACTTGGTAATGTGGAGGTGCCTGTAAAAGTATCCAGCATAATGCATCCCTCAGATTCCAACATCCATGAATGTTGCTTTTCTCCTTTGAAGCATAGTTTTGCCCTAGAGTGACACAAATGGAAGTCTTGGTCCTCCTGTCCTTTCTCCTCCCAATAAGGGACTCAGGGACTAAGACCCGCTGGTCTCTCTCAGTGTGTGCTGACTGCTACTGAAATGTTTGCTTACTCATCTGTGTTCGTTACTTAAGATGTTTCTCTTAGAATGAATAAGCATGACAAGATGTGAATTTCAAACAAAGGGGAAAGAAGACAGAGCAGCAGATGAGAAACAACTCTTAAAAATAGTATTAATAAAAAGAATAAATGGTCTACAGGATAAAAACATAGAGACTAGGTTATAAGAGATAAAGGTTAAAGAAAAGTGTAGTAATTCAGCACAGATCATCGCTTCCCTAGATTAGAAGCAAAGAAAATCTGGCTTCCTCTCTTCTAGGAATGCTGATTTTAAATTATATGGTCTTAGCCAGGCATGTTGGTGCTAGTCCCAACTACTCCTAAGGCTGAGGCAGGAGGATTGCTCAAGCCTGGGAATTTGAGAACATCCTGGACAATACATGCAAGACCCCCTCTCAAATAAAAAAGAAACAGATAATATTTTTCTCTGTAAAATCTTCACTTTTATTCCTTTTGCTGTGGCTAATCTCCAGATAGCTCTTTCCCCGTACACCCAGTTGTGCAGGCTCTCCTTACTTTTCAGAATTGGAGTCTTTTATCTTTCACTTTTAAGCCCATGCTTGTACATTAAAAGGAAGAAACACCCTTCCCTAGGTTTCTGGCTGGAACTTGCAATGAATCAAATCAGAGAGCTCTATGCATCTTTCTATAAGTGAACACACAGAAAATGGCAGAGCTAAAAATGTTGAAAACCAAGTTTGTAATGGCAGGAGACTGCCCTTGGCCTCACCAGCCTATCAGCCAAGGAACACCTGAGTGTTGTGATTACCCAAATCCTTAGAGAGACACAGTGTCATGTACCCATCGTGTCTGTCATGCCCAATTAGTTAGAGGGCTCACTTGAAGCTTATGTCCCTGTAACCAGGAATGCAAAATTAAGTCAACAAAAGTAAAAGCTGCCCTGTAGCTGCCGTGTACCACAACCATGTAAAATTCTCACACATAGGCAGTAGACACATTGCTTCAGTTGTTCATGAGGGACCTTGTGCTCCAAGTCACTTATCAGTTGTCTGTCAATCTCTCAGAAAGCAAGCAGTAAAACTCAGAAGACATCAGCTTGTAATAAAACATCTAGTGAAGTCAACGAAGTGCAAACAGGGCAGGAATTCAGCAAGAGTTCAAAGGAGGTGAGAGGCGGGGCATGGCAGCACCTGAGCCTCCAGGACCAGAAGCAACTTGAAGAAAATGCCCCTTCCAGAAACTTCTCGTTATTTTGTTCTGCACCTATATCGGTTTCTATTGCAGCTGCACTTAATATTTTTGGAAATGTATCACTGATGACTTAGCTGAGCATGTAGCCTAAGGTGCTCCTCTTATTTTTTTCTTCCAAGTTATGATTGATACTTAAGGGCTTTCTAATATAATTATATCATTTTCCCCTTTCCTTTCTTCCCTCCATACCCTCCTATACTCACCCCTCCTTGCTCTCTTTCAAATTCATGGCTTCTTTTTTCATTAATTGTTGTTCTTTGTACCAAGAAGTCCCATGCATGTTCCAAAGGAGGGAGGCAACCAACACCGGAATGACACGATAACCCTAGTGGCACCTATACTTGTTGCTCTGCATTTTAATGAGCTCCATTCCTGGTGACCCATTGACTCAGTACTCATTTTCACTGACCTGCCCCTGGTTCATGTGGTAGCTATAATCCTTATAATAGTTTATCTCGCTACAGCTGGGCGAAGGGTTTACAGAGAAACAGGAAAGCATTTCACTTTTGAAACAGCAGTGACATCCCAGGTCTGTATATTTTTGTGGGGAGACTGTTAAACTATAAATAGCCTATACACGAGAGAAGTCCCCTATTTTGTTTTCTGGTTTTGTATGTTGGCTTTTCTGGGATGAGGCCTCACTGTGTAGCCCAGTTTGTTCTCAAACTCCTAATCCTGCCTTGTTCCCTCAGGGGCTGGAATTACAGGCATATGCTACCACCAGACCTAGCAGATGGCCCCATCTTGACAGCTAAGGATATTCCTTTTTTAGTTATTCAGGAAGTAAAACATTTTCCATGACAATCCACTCTGTTTTGTTTTTTGTTTTTTAATCGGTTCTTTAAATAGTTAAAATTGTGTTAATTCTAGAATAGTGCTGAGGAAACAGGTAGGGAAACAGTCAGTGGTCAAGAGCTGTAGGGAATGGGGCCCAAGAGATAGCTCAGTGGTTAAAAGCACCTGCTGTTCCTACAGAGGACTCTGGTTCAGTTTGGATCCCCAACACCTGGTGGCTTACAGCCATCTGTAACTTCAGTTACAGGGGATCCAGCACCCTCTTCTGGCCTCAGCAGGCACTGTACACTCATGGTGCACATACAGACAAGCCGGCAACACACATGCACATAAATAAAAATTTTAAATTTTGTTCATAAAAGAATTGCAGGCAAGCAATTCTTAGGACATATTTACATAATACTCTAAAGAAACCTGAGATTTGTGACTCATGTAGTGACCTGACATTGCAGGTAATTCCAGTGGAGAAGCTGGTGAAAGGGCGTTTCCAAGACAACCTGGATTTTATTCAGTGGTTTAAGAAATTCTATGATGCTAATTATGATGGGAAGGAGTACGATCCTGTCGAGGCACGACAAGGACAAGATGCAATTCCTCCCCCTGACCCTGGCGAACAGATCTTCAACCTGCCCAAGAAGTCTCACCATGCAAACTCCCCCACAGCAGGTATGTCCTCTCTCCATGCAGGGAATGGCTCCCACTCTCCTGTGCTCCAGTCTGTGCTTGTAACTGACAGTATTTTCATGCCTTTGAATGGTTTTCAGTATTGTCTGTTTTCACACTGATTTTTCTGTGACCCATTTGTCATGAATCTAATGATTTTGATTTCAGATATCAGAAAGGCAAAGCCACGCATGCTGTGTCCCTGGCTGTTAAGATAATACCCTGGAGATAGGTTTCTTTTTCTCTCTAATTTTTTCTAAAAAAACTTTTAGTAGTCTACTTAGATTTTGATTAAAATATTTTTACTGCAAGACCATAATACAAGCTGACTTGTGCCACTAAGTGTGAGCCATTTTCCATAGGCACTCAAAGGAAACTAGTGATCATTTTTGTATGTTAAGGTGGACCCTTCATTTATTATACATTCTTGTCCTAAAAAGGGAAATCATTGAGGATACATACCTAGAACAGCCAGATAAGGTATGCACTGGTGAAATGGGGACATTATTATAAACGCCAGTTGTGTGCTACACCATTAACAGTGAAACTCTCAGAAACTTTTTTCCATCCCAAATGTGGAGCCCATTGTTCAGACCTATTACAATACAAAGGATTTTTTTTTTTAATTTCTGCCCATTCTACTATATAGTTAGTATGGATTAGACATGATTAATACTAAATACAGGTAGCTTTATAATCAATCATACTTTTCCTCACTACTTAGAAACCTTTTCCAGCTTTTCTATCTGAGTTCTCAGCTATATCCCAGGCAATCTTTGTCCCTTGGAAATCTGACATCTTCAAAAATTTTTGAAATATTTGTTTGAAAAAAAAAAAGTTGGCTGAGCAGTGGTGGTGCACACCTTTAATCCCAGCACTCAGGAGGCAGAAGCAGGTGGATCTCTGTGAGTTCGAGGCCAGCCTGGTCTACAGAGCAATTTCTAGGACAGGTTCCAAAGCCACAGAGAAACCCTATCTCGAAAACCCAAATAAATAAATGAAAATAATTGTTAAAGATAATAAGATCAGCTTGTATACTTAACAGTCTTGTAGATGGGGTCTTCTTCATGTGGAATAACATAGTAGAAGAAAAATAGTACATACCTCTAGGAGATATTCAGGAAGTAACGGGACTGGGCTTTGGTAGTGGGTGGATTCTAGAGTGAGCAAGCCAGCTGCCAAGTGTGACTTCTTGCTGTGTCTCCCACACTTGGAAGGATGGAGGTTATCATTCAGGAAGTGCTGAGAGAGCTGGATTTGAGAAGAAATTGTATTTATCTTAACATTCTGAGTTTCAGATTTCTTTGCAACATCCAAGAGACTATCCAAATAACGTGTGTGTGTGTGTGTGTGTGTGTGTGTGTGTGTGTGTGTGTTATGCATGAAAAGTGTGGGCAGTACATAAATAAACATTTGTGAGTGTTCCATATCTTGAAGCTGGAAGTGAATACAGAATGCTAAGGAGGGGCTGCCTTCAGGAATTCCTAACAATTATGGGTGAGTAGAAGAGAAGAAACTTTCCCGGAATGCAGAGAAGATGCCAAAAGATTGGAAGAAACTAAAGAGTGGATTTCAGGGAAGCAGAAGAATGAGCTGGAATGATTGACAGTTTCTGACTTTGCAAGGAGTCAACTAAAGTGAAGCCTGGAAGGGTTTGTTGGATTGCTCAACTGGAAAATCATTCATGAAAGGATGAGGCAAGGACTGCATTAAGGAATGAGTTGGATAAAAGATACCAAGTGACTGTCCAAGTTTAGTGTTGGAATGAATGAGCATGTAGATGAAGAGCACTGAGCACAGTTAGATACAAGTAAAGGGAAGAAGCCTTTTTAAAGGATGAGTACAGACAAGAAAGTCAGGAGAACTCAAATCATTAGTAGTGTATGAAACCACACAGACCTAGAATATTTTTCTTTCTTCTACAGTCGTACTGTGACCTTAATTTTTTTTGGCCTCAGCTCCAGCACTTCTCTTTTAAACAGAACTGCAGTATGTTGCCTTGTCCTCATTATCTAAGAATTCCCTCATCTGTGTCTCACAGAAGAAACAGTAGGACGTTTCTAGAAAGAGGGTCATGAATATTAATTGTGGAAATATGATGTACAGTGAAACTTGAAAATAGTATGTAGAAAGCTGACTCCCAGGGCATGATTAATAATCCTTTGGAGAACGGGTCCCCTGAGAAGTTGGGCACTGGAGTCTGGGTTGCAGCAATTGAGAAAGGCCAGGTGGGGTGTGGAAGTGGGGAACTTTGTCAAGGATACAAAGAAGCAGTTGGTTGTTGTCAGGGTGAGGGAAGCTTGAGGAGGGATAAAAATGGTGCTCTAATTGTGTGCTTTAAGGACAACACAAAATTATCAGATTTGTAAGGTTGGGGAACAATCTGAGGAGCCAAGGGGCAGAGAAAGAGGAGAGATTAGAGGACCATGACCCTGAACCTGAAGAAGAAGATGAGGTCAAGGGCTCCCCGGGAGTTAATGGGAAAGGGAAGATGTATTGTTCTGGAGCAGAAGCGAAGGCAGAGGTTGGATGAAAATTAAGCCACAAGAAGATTGGGAGGCAAAATTTGATGTAGTTCAAACTGGTCACCTGCTTTTGTCAGCAGCCTTGATCAGTCTAAGAGTCGGAGTAGAGCCGATACTAGGACTGGGATTTGGGAGGCATGTGAAGTGACAGGACTCAGGTTCAAACCCAAGGCATGCTGTTATTTCCCTTCTTGGTGTCCTTTTTGTAGCTATTACTGGTGGACAGATAGGCTTTGAAACTCAACTGCATTTTTTGAAATTCTAATAGTATGCCTCAGAATACTTTTCTCCCACAGTCATAATGCATCTTTATCTTATTTTTTAACCCTTTTAACACCTGTTAACACTTCTACTTTTCCACCCAGAACTAGGCTACTAGGCTCTGTGGCTTCTGTGAGAAGCCACAGAGGAACTTTTGCTGTTTTGATAGAATGCCATAAGCCTGAAAGAGAAACCTATGTTTTCCAGAGTTTAACCTCTTAGGTGACAAAGCTAGGGAAATATATGAAAGTCAACAGTTAATAAATTTGATTGTTTTGATACTCCAGAAGGAAGAGATTTCTGATATTGCTCCCATGCATTGATGGTGTTTCTTTTGCTGGTCTTATTTAGAGAGGAATGGGATTTTTCAGGAGGCAAATTAATCACCCCCCCTTTAATCAAATGTGTCCTGAATATTAGACATTGTGGGGCAGTAAAATTTTACTAGAGAAAGATTATCCCAAGACACACATCACATGCAGAATATAGTTTTTAAAGACCACAATGGGAGAATGGCCCCTAGAAATGCAGAAGGCTCTGACTTTCTTGAAGTCCTGCATCCAGATATTGGGACCGTGGCCAAAAAAATAATTCAAATGTTTCTGGAAAGTCAGGAGAGGGGCTAGAAAGGCTGTTTATAGAATTCATGCACTTTAGTCCAGGTTTTTAGGGCTTTTCCAGAGTCTGTGCCTTTTCATCATCGATGGACATGTAGTAGAACATGAGGATATCAGTTCCCGGCACATGACCCGGTAGGACAGGATACACAGCACAAACAGCAGTGAGAGCTCCAAGTCTTAAGTTGGGAAGTTTACCAGAGCAGGGTAGCCTGGATATGTGCTTCAAATGTAGCTGTTGCATGAGTTCCACGTGTGTGGGTGAGTGTGAGGTAGTAGGTCTTGGGTTTACTTAGAATTCTCTCTTCAGAACACTGACCCATAACCTCTGTATGTAATCTCAAAGCATAGGAAGGTTGTCCTTCGCCTAAGACCACAAGTCTGACTTTTTTGCTGAAGACTGGGGATGAATCGAAGTGTTTGATGAAGTGGGCAGTGACCTGTCTGGAGCTAGATCAGTATGTTACAGCCACTATTCTTTTTCATATTGAAACCTTGATCTCTTCTTAATTATCTGTATCCTTGGAAACAAGTAATGCCTTGAATAGTTAAAAACAGGATGGGGGCTGGCACTTTGGAATACTTGGTTAATTTTGCAGTAGATGGATCTCTCCCACAGATATGCCTTAGGCTGATTTAATTTGCATGTCTGGCAGCTTCAAAGCATCTTGTATGACAGAGAACCACATTACAGTGGGAGGAAGTGATGTGGAATGTAATGCCATGTAATGGTAATTGAGAGGACACTGTCTATGCTAGCAAGGAAAGAAAATTCTGCTTTTACAGCATCCGTGCTGTGTGTAGCTGCGCACCAGAGATGGTTTCCTTTATAAAAATAGATGCTCTCCACACATTTGGTGTATTCTTTCTGAGAGCATGCTAGATTTCTCTGCCATTTCAATGCAGTTAGGAAACTTTTCTCCTAAGGACTCGAAGCATAAAGTTGATTGCTATCTGTATAAGTGGGCAATGTATCTTCACTATAATCAACATTAACATAAACAGGTTTTATGCAGGGTGTGTAGCTGCCAGGTAATATCAATTCTGACTACGTTTGGAGGAGCTGTGTTTTCAATTGATTTTGCCCTATCACCCACAGCCATGTGTTCAAATGCACATGTCTCATTGACAGCTGTCTGTTAAGCATGTACATCCTCAAGAAACATGTTTCTAAGTGTAATTGCCCTGATCCTACCTACAGTCTGATAGCTGTCTTGGGAGGTAGGCTTTATGTGTAAAGACTTACAAAACTTAAAAGGAAATTCAACATTATGGTTTCCATAGCGACTCAGACACATTGCAGATTCACATACGCTAATGTATTTAAATCAGACTCTCAAATATAAATATAGCACGATAGATTTAGAGTTGCTATGGGAATTGAGCTTTCTCTCTTCCTTAGAGACATGTGTTTTAGCCTTAAAATCAGGTTAGGAGAAATGCTAGAAAAGTGATTCCAAAACAGAAAGTACCTAGGCATTGACAACGAGGTATCCAAATAATCCTCATTAAATCCATAGATGAAGATTTTAGTAAATCCTAATAGTATTTTAAAAAGTCTGTATTGAACATTGAATACTCCTGATTGGTTACTTCAGGC